TGCAATTACGCATTTAAAATAATATACATAAACGCGCGGCGCGTTACATAATACGTATGTGTGTGTGCAGTGGCCGCAGCAATATCGAGCCTGCGCAAATGGTATTCGAGTACAGTGCGTCTGTGTGCGTTTAATACGTGCACAGCATATCAATTTTTGCAACTACTCTGCTCTCGAAGTCAAGGTGTTGACATTGTCATCTTTTGCCTGCCTGCCTGCCGCGCTTACGTGTTTGTATGTATAGCTCGCGAGCTTTTAATCCCATACAACATATAATTACAATATATCCTAGTTCGGTGCGGCGCGTTAGATAATGTCCAACATAGTTTCGCCTATAGTTGACAATGTATCGTGTATTTATATATTCCGCGTGCACTGAAATGATCATATTCTCATATTCGAGCTGTGCAGCAGCAGCTTTTGCAGTAACACACAGCTCGCAGTCCGTCCTTCGGCGTTACGAATCGGTTAAGCGATTATACAATTCATGAATGCGCTTCTCTGTGGGTCGCGCGGCTTTAACGTACGTATATATATAGGATATAATAGTTAGCTCTCGTCGTTCGCAACAAATATACAAGCGTAGTTATTGTAGTGCCCGAAAGGCGACTTCAATATTTTGCTCCAGTTTCGCCGCGACGTATACAAGAGTCAACAGATCGAGCCGATCTTCTCTCATAATACCTCCGTATATAGTGTGTGTGTGCATATAATGCTCACTCGTCGGCTATACGTATATCCCCCTTCGCCTTATGTAGACGCGAGGTAGAGTACTTTGCCTGTCGTGCCATGCGCTGCTGCTTTGGTTATATAAGTATACCCACGGAGAGGAGAGGAGAGAGACCGGCAGCGGCGTGACCGTGAACTTAAAAGGCAGAGCTCTCTCTCTCTCTCTCTCTCGGTTGGCGAACGATACACTCTATACTATACTATTGCAGCTGCACGACGACTTTGACTACGACGTATAAAGGCGTCGAAGGAGGGAACAAAGGATCCTCGCTCGAGACGCGTTTTTTTTCTTTTATTTTCTCTTCGCTTCGAGAAAACCTGTCTCGCGAGTGTAGCGCCTGCCTGCCTACCTCTGCCTCTGCGCTCGGGTTAATTTTGGAATATGTACACGATATCCAGCCTACATATCGGATGAAAAAATTACATATATTATATATTATTCATACGGCTACATGTATATATGTACGTTATATACGAAGTGGCGCGTGGCGACATCGCTTTGTACCAATTATTCCCAAGTTATATAAAGTGCCTGACTGCTGCCTGCCTGCGAGAACACACGAACTTTATATAATTTGCTGCTGCTGCTCTCGAAGCAGCAGTATACAGGCTAGACGCGTTGAAACACGTGCAACGAGCTCGAGAAAAGAGAGCTGCACCGCCTGCCACTGCTGCTGCTCACGAAAAAGAGAATGAGAAACTGCGTTCCTTGCACTATATATATATATATATATACAGATACACTGCTATAATACATAAGAGTCTGTGTGTGTGCCAATTTCGAAGAGATAGAGAGAGAGAAGAACAAAGGCTCGAATTATGCTCTATTTGTTCTTCGCTCGTTGTATTATACGAGCTCTCGCGCGCGCGAGTAGTAGTAGTAGCAGTACCGAAAATTTTTACTCGCTCCAATTTAACGATTGATTTATATTACTATGCGGCGCGTAGCATCTCTCTTTCTTGCACTCGAGTATATATAGATAGTATTATTTTATTACGTATTATATTGGGTGCACGGGGGGATATAAACTCGCAATGCCGGCTCGACGATCGAGCTTTTATAATCACGTACACGCGCGGCTGCTGCAAAATATCAGCCGAAAGGAGAAGAAGATGAACGAAAGGCTGATACAGTGTCCCCTCGAGTGGGGAGGCACACAGAGACGAGTACTACGCGCTAATCTATAAATAAGTGTCATAAATGTTTGTCAGGTGGTAGTTGGATATACACACACACACATATACACGAGTGCGTGCGAGATTATTCGGTTCGTGCACGCGTACGTACATCGCATCGTTTATACACATAGTATTATATACACCCACACACTGCACACTGCACACACAGCTCCTCGGAACTGCGGAGCAGCGTCAGCGGCAAGCAAAGAGCATCGACCCGGATGTCGAGCATTATAATATTACGATGCGTTGCAGTAGTAGTAGTAGTACTGCCACGGCGAGGATCTCTGCGGTATGCATGTAGCAGTGCTGCGGCACAATTGCAATATACGTCGATTTTTTTTTCTATCTATCTTCCTATCTGGCTATACATACGAGAGGCTATGTGCCATTTGTAAATATAAAATAATTAATTCGCGCGATCGCGCGAGCATGTCTGTATCGCGAAACAAAGTATATAATAACGCGCGCATTTATAAAGGATTTAAATCCCCGCAACGCGAGCAAACAGGTTAGCCGGTTAAGTTGCGGGTTACACAACCGCGACTCGGCTTCTCTCCCGTCTATATGCACCTATATATAATAATATTCAATATATACATATCGCGGTACAATGAGAAAAATATGAAAAATGTCTGTGCGCGACTGTGTGCGCGTAAGTCTCACGCGGCACGGCACACGCGAGTTTTTAATATATAATTAATACATCGGCCAGCATCGAGTATTAAAAGTCCGATCAACGCACAGTCTCGACAGCTTTTGCAGTTCTCTCTCTGCACTCTAGTGAGTGTGTGTGTGTGTGTGTGTTCGGGTGTGGAGGCGCATGTATTGACCTTGAGACTCGCTGCTGCACAGCCACAGCCGCAGAGAGAAAGAAAGAGAGAGAAGTTCGACGACCTCATACGCGCGTTAGCTATATACTTCTCTCTCTTTCTCTCTCTCACTCGGCGAATAGCAGCAAGAGACGCATACACGAGAGCGAGTGTGTGTGTGTGTGTGGAGAGGCTCTGCGTGCAAGGTCGTCTTTCTTTTGATGCAGCCAGAGAGTATATAGTGGGTATGCGTATGAAAATAAAAAAAAGGAAAAACATAAAAAAATAACCGGACGCGAGGGAGAGATCTGTCTCTGTATACGATGCACTGATATATAAATATACGAGCGTTACATTTTTCTTTTATTTCGTTTTAAATGTGAATACATTTTTGCTGAGTGTATAGCCTTGAAGATATCAAATTCTGATCGATGCATGTACACAAATGCTACAACACAAGTCAGATAAGATTATTACGTAAGAGACGCGAAGATGCGCGCGAGCGATATACATATGTATCAAGACGCGTAATTATCGTGCTTTTGGAGGATCGCAAAATATAGCAAGTATCGTATAGTGGCTACCAAACGATAAATCGAACAAGAGAGTCGAAAAGCCAAAGCCCCAGACGTCTGGGAATCTATACGAGATCGGTCTATAGTCGGGGTCGCCGTCGTTTATATTCTCTTCTCCCTCGCACACGCGTTCGCGATATATAACGCGTCCGATCGAATACGAGAGCTCTAGGCGACAATTCGTAAATCCTCGGGATGAAAATTTATCTCTCTCACGGCCGTATTTTATATATTTTATATATATTGTACGAGGGAGAGATGCGGGAAGCGAATTAGCCTTTGTTCGACGATGTACGCGTATTTAATTACATCGCGCCCCGCACGACGAGTGATTTGTGTTCGGTGGACACCTCGCCGTGGAATATATATTTTATTATAATAAAGGTAAAATGAAAATGTACGCATACATCATTCGCTTCTCGATTAATTATTTTCGAAGAAACGAATGATGCATCTCTCTCTCTCTCTCTGCACTGCAGATGTGCAACGTTATCGAAATAAACCAGTGGGAGCTCTTTCCGGGAAATACTACGAGTGCGAAAAATAACCGCTTCTTTGTTTCGAGTAACGTATGATACTTTTGATTCAATTTAAAATTTCGCGAATTAAGATTGATTTGTATAAAATGTATTATTGCAAGCGCGAAGAAATTGAATAGATACAATAAATTTGATAACGCGTGGCCGCCTCAACGGCAGCCGCAACGCCTACGTGTAATAATAGCCGAGATCGCCAGCTCGCATTGTTTACATAAACTAATCGATACTGCAGCACACCATGTGCACGTCCACGAGTGCCTCGGCGCAGCGGCAATAAATATGTATAAAGTATCGCTCGTAACGCACAAAGGTTTAAATAGACGACGCTTGTGTGGGCCGATTATACATTATATTACATGGTACATCGTATGTGATATATAGAAAGCTTCGCGGGTAATATTAGTTTTCACGATTGCAAGACTCAGCGTAACGACGATGACGACGAAAAAAAACACACCGATCGATAACTTTTTTGCATTATTTTCAGTATATAGAAAATCACGCAGCAAGGTCACTTTACCACCTATATATATTATGCAGCGAGTATCGAGTCGCGTTTTAGTTCACTGACACGCGCGCGGCGTTTGCGACATTCGAAATTACGAGTACTCGATGGTTTTTCCGCCAAACTGTAAATAAAAATAGAAAAAAAATAATATATAAAACTCGTGTCATACATGCATATCCGAAACAATATAGTTTCGCGTGCAGTGTTTACTTTTTTAGCTATCCGCACTAACTATACGTACATATAACGCGCACATCTGATGCAACATGTTGTTGTTGCTGCTGCTGATGTAGCGTATAGTGATGTGCGAGGGACGACTACGTAGCAGCGTGTCACGCGTCCGCATGTAAATTTTACGTAATTTCTTTTTGTTTTCTTTTTTTTTTTTTTTTTTATAACAAATGCATTGCATTGTGCAAGAGCCGCGAGTTTAATAACCAAAAAGTGACGCAGAACTAGCGATCGAGCACGCACACACATGCACACACGTGCAAGCACACTCTAACTTTGTGTAAGTCAAGCCTACTGGCAGCAACAAGTATACGTGTACGTGAGCTTTTAACGAGCTTGAAAAACATTTTAATCGATTTTCCGTGATAGAGGCGATATTGGACGACAAGAGAAGAGTAGTTGTTTGTTGCTTGTTTATGCTACTCACCAAGCTGTACAGCGAGATCGTAGCGCTCGAAGGCCTGCTGTATGTGTCCCTTGTTGAGTAGCGCGTCGCCCTCGTGCCTGGCCTGGCTGGCCTCGACCTCGCGCGGCCACCACTTCTCCGCCAGCCTCTGCACCAGAACGTTGATCTCGTTGCACCCATTATTACTATTACTACTACTACTAACATCATGGTCGTCGACGTAATCATAATCGTCGTCGTCGAACACAGCACCAGCACCAACGACACCGTAAGCACTCGCGGTAGTCCGCCTGCTCTCTATGCAGAGCTTGCAGCGGGGCTTGCGCCTCCGTCTTCGGTTCTGCTGATCGTTGCCGCTGTCCTCGAGCCGCAAGCACGGCTTGCAGTAAGTGTGGCCGCAGTCGAGCGTCACCGGATGATACAGGGCCGTCTCGCAGCTCGGGCAGGCGAGCGAGGCCCACAGACGATTGTTCTGTTGCTGATTGGATCGCTCGTGGGCGGCCTCCGCGGCCTCGGCCATGCTCGGCACCAGATCCTCGAGGAGGGCGCCGGCGAAGTGACGCAGCCTCTCGGCGCTCGGCGGCTGTATGCCCTGCTGCGCGCAGTACTCCACGCAGTGCTGGTACAGCGCCAGGGCCTCGTGCAGACGCCCGGCCCGCGACAGCTGGTCCGCGTAGCCGTACATGTCGTCGAGGTAGCGCTGCTTGCGCAGCTGCTGCGTCTGGGCACGCTGCTGCTGCTGCTGCTTCCTGCGGGCCCGCACCATCTCCATGGCCGTGCTGAAGGAAGCGAACGTGTTGTTCCTCGGGTTGAACGCCTTCTCGTTGGCTACGTCCGTCATCGTGATCGTCCCAAAGATCAACGACTCTTCTCTATATTTACCTCTACCTCTCTCTCGCTCTCTCTCTCTCTCTCTCTCTTTCTCTCTCTCTCTCTCTCTCTTTCTCTCTCTCTCTCACTCACGACGGTGTGTGCGGCTGTCAGCTGGCAACGATTACGATCATAACAAACGACGACGACGCCGACGATTTGCACTGCTTCGCGACACGCGATCGACCACCGTGTGTTTTAGCGCATGTTATTTTTTATTATTAACCAGCCGAGAGTACGATAACGTGTAAATAAACAATTGACACTGTGCCTACGTTTTTTTCTTCGCAATGCGGTTACGTTATTCAGCCTCGTCTCTTCTCTGCCGTTGGCTATCGAATCGTTCTATTTTATATAATTTATATAATACGACAGTTTTTAAAAGCAGTACGTATAGAGTCGCGCATCGAAGCCAGAGTGTGTTGTTGCGAGCAGAACAGAAAAAAGCCTGCCTACATAGTCGCTCTCGTCGCGCGCACTCGAGTTCTCGACGTCGACTGATTTCCGAGCCGAGTCCCTCTCTCTCTCTTGGCGGTGGCAGTTCGTTCGTTCGTTCGTCGTTGCCGCCGCCGCCGACGCAGCAGTGGCCGCGCGCGCGAACCTAGCAGACGCGCACACACACTGCACGGCACAACGCTATACCAAGCAGAGCGAAGGAGAGAGAAGGAGAGAAAAGTGGTGGTAAAGCTCTCGCGAGGCGGTCTATATAGCTGTATATAGATACTGTGTGTAGTGCTGTTGCTCTGGCTCTTCTCTGTGTGCGTACTGTGTATATTATACGATCGCTGCGCCACACGCCAAGCGCAAAACGAGCTGCCTGCCAATGTTGTCGATGTGCTTTTTTTTTACTTTTTTTTCAATTTTTCTTTCCGATCGAGCTCCTTCGAAATATTTCTTATTTCATATTTCTTATCGCTTTTCGTGAATCCGTTTCTTTTTTTTGTTATTTATGGCAGCTGATAAGCTTTGGCTTTTCACTGTTTTACATAATGATACTTTACTGCAATCGGCGAGAGCTTGAATGTTTATTTGCTGCGACACTTGCACCAACAACACTCGAAATTAATGATATGATGTTTTCAAATGCAATCGTTTGAAACATTCGAGGCGCGTCTCTGCGCAACACCTCTTTTTCTTTAACATTACTCTTCGAAACACTCGTCGTCGCACTAAAATTACTTTTCAAAGATAAACGGTGCACATCACGTACGCAAAACAATTTCTCAATAATACGTAAATATAAAAATGCACATCAGCTGCTGCGAGAAGTCGTGGCGGTGGTGGTTTGTTGAACCTTATAGCGGCGGCGGACTACGTGTGCGTCGAGCTGCTGCTGCTGCACACGGATCAATCGTCACCCGCCCGGTGTTTCGTCCACTGCTTGCGCGCCCAGTTCGCAAGCTCTCGCGCTTAATAGAAGTGCGGCGTGGCGTGGCGGGCGTGGGAAAAGCACACGCGATAACACGGCACAACGCATGAGCGAATTTCTGGCCTCTCGCGCTTGCGCTCTTCTTGTTTCCTCATCGTCTTCTTCTTCCTCGTGTCGCCTCGCATTAACCCCTCGGTCCGCCCAAAGTCTGAATTCGCGGGGTTGCTCATTTTTCATAACCGAATTGTGAACGAATACTTATTAATCTCGTGGTAAAAAAGCTCGACATTAACTAAAGAATGGTCATTTGAAATGTTTTGCGTTGTTTCTGCGAATATATGTTAAGAATATAAAGCTTATTGAAAAAACTTCAATAAGCGTAGATCAGTTTACAACCACTTTAAATGCGATAATACTAATTTAAGCTTCCAACACTAGATGGCGAGTACCTTTAATCTGTAAATCTGCAAGTGGCTAAGTCAAAATTAGTTTATAAGTCAAAACGCGGTTATGAAAAGGTACCCAATAGTCTATAAATCTGATTAATCTTAGTTATGAATCTTAGTTACAAAATGACGATCATTTCTACCAGCGATGAATGAAAATAAAAAAGAAATTTTTATTAATTTTTTGCTTTGGTTTTCTTCTGGGTGAAATTCGCCGCTCTTATTATATTTCAATAAAAGAGCTTCGTCAACTAGCACAAAATTATATTGAAATTATACTTAAGTATACTGTATATCCAAAAAATTTTAGTTTCATTTTTCGAATAAGTGAAATTTTTATCTTATTTAAATATTTTCTAATTGGTGATATAATAAGAAGTTATAAAATTATTATTATTATAAAAAACTTTTATTGTAATGACAATATAGTAGTTATGAAAATTCAAAAAAGTTTTCTGGAGGTTTTGAATAGTTTAACATTAGAATTTTGTTATCAACTTTACTTTCTATATCAAGAATAACACAGATGAAAAAATCTATTCTTCGTTTTAGGGTACCCATTAATTAAGATAGTTTTAAAAAAATCAAAAATAATTTTCATGATCAAGTGTCAAAAATGCGATAGATTTGAAGTGTTCAAGTTTCATAAGTAAAAAGCATTACATATTAACAAAATACAGCTTGTTATCAACTCAAAAAAGGAATATTAATAATTTTTTATTATATAAGTTCGTCGGAGTGAAGTTAAAAATGTTTGATACTAACGAGCTTTATTCATTATTCAAATATGTGGTATTGAGTAACTTCAACAATCACGTTGTTTTATAAACTTTAAATAATTCCTACGTATTCGCCATTTGAAAAGTTATGTAAAAAGAACATACAGTTAGCTAATTACAAACCGTTTTTCGAAGAAAAATATTTATCAAAAAAATTGGTCAAAGATAAGAAAATCTTCGGATGGATTTTTTCCAAATTGTTACGTAAAAGAAAAAATTGCGTAAGTTCGCGAATCGATAGCTGGTTTTTATTCGCTTTTTGCCGGATTTTTAGCCTAAAAAAAAATAAATTCTCAACGAACGAAATCTACCTTCGAAAGACGACTCCGCGCTTCGAAGAAGAATTGAAATAATTATTTACGTGACCGTTATCTTATCGATATTATTATTTTTTCTCGGTGCATATATTCGAGGCTTTCGGCTCGACGAGGGTTTTTTTTTCTTCAACAATTAATTAATTATCCATGTGACATGATTATGAATGAACGAGAGAAGAAAAAAATGAAATTCAAACAATTATAAACGATCGTTAATTAAATGTTGCGAGTATTTGAGAATCCACAAGATGTTGTACACCTTACATAAGATGCATTTCAATATATCCGGTACATAATTTGAATAAAAACTTTATTCCGGATGCGTATCGACGTCAAAGAGTTACGAATTACAATCAAGGGTTTCTCTAGATGAATCAGAAACTATTTTATTAAAATTAAACATAAATTTATACAAATGTATTATTGCACGATAGCGCGCAACGATTCAAGTCACTCAGGATAACGTCATCGGTGTCAACCTTAATCTCACCCTCTCTCTCTCTCTCTCTCTCTCTCTCTCTCTCTCCTACATTGTAAAAATACTTTGCGCGCATTAATTTCCAAAACGTCGTTCCACATATCTGCGCATGTAAATGCTATTATGACGCGTACACATGTATGCGTATTTATCGGTGTGCTCGCGCGCGGGGTTACATAATCTATTAGTATCTCGCCTGGTGTGCTCTAAGCCACGCGTGTGCGCGAGAGCTTGTAATATCGCAGTAAAGGTGACTCTCTCTATATATATCACACGAGAGTCGCGAGCGCTATAAGTCGACGATTGGAAAACAAGTAGTTAATCGTCGAAAATACCGAGTATGGAAACTATACGTATGTATAGAGTTATATAGGCTGTTGCTGCTGCTGCGGTGCGCACACATGCTGCAGCGAATCGCGAATGATAACATTACGTAAATGTTCGTGAATCAACGCCTGTTATACATGTACGCGCGACAAAAGCTTGCGCGAGTCGGAGTCGAGCTTGCAAGTCGAGCGCACTCGAGAGATCGGATAGAATAATATTTGCCTGTCGAGCGAGCGAGCGAGCGAAGAGGTGTATTATTTTTATGGTAATGTTATGCCAGATGACACGATCGTCGCTCGAGCGTAATATTTTCTCGGCGAGGAGGAGGTTGATTACACACAAAACGATTTTGACGATTATTTCTTTCGGCTTTTTCGTTTCCACTAAACGTTTTCGATATACATCCTATTACTCGAGAGCTACAAACTCTGCATACACACAGAAGTGGTGCGAATAAACGATTCGGCCTCTTTCGCGGCTCCGATCTTTTATAATATGCGTGCGGTACGGAGCGGTGACGCTCCGTATATATACGTGATTTACGTAACTGTACATCGAACACATGCATCGACCATCGAGAAATATAAATATAATTTTTTTCTTTTTTTCTGCCCGTAAGATGTCGTTTAATCGGTTCGTGATTTGATTTTTTGCCTTCGATCGACGACGAAACGCAAGTTTATATACGATGTAACGCTTTTTTGCGCGGGGCTGATGCGTTTGCTTTAAGAGCGCTATAATGTCCGCGGGAAAACTATCCGATAATTTGATGAACACGTTTAGCGCCTTGATAAAATCGTACGATGACTTATACAATTTTTTTCACTTTGATACTTGCAGATTTACAGATGACGGTTACGGATGATTGAGTTTCCGCATTGAAATGTTAATTATCAATTAAAATGTTTAAATTTAAGCATAGGATATATCAATGCATCGAGGGGCGTTAACAATTTTCATCTTTTTTATAAATCGTGGCTAGCTAGACAATATAAGCGAGCTCCAAAGAAGTCTTTCTTCTTCAAGTTATTAATTGAATCCAATGAAATTATATGTCTATAAGTAATACATCACTTATAAAATGATTTTTACTTTGCTGCTTGCAGATTTACAAGCAAAAGTACACGCCATCTAGTGGTGAATAGTGGCTTGAATCGTCATTAAAATTTCATGAATTTTTTTTAGCAATTTCAATGAAATTTTTCAATTTGAATATAGAATTGAATCTTTTATGCTTAATTCAGCTTTAAAAATAATATACGTAATCGAATTTTGATGCTTTTTTCGTGCAATTTATGTAAAAAAATATTGATCAGTATTATAATTTACAACAAAATTTTTTATGTTAAATTACTTTAAATAAAATTCAGAATCGGTTAACATCTGATTTTAATTTAAATCCACATTAAATCTAAGCTTTTCCTCAACACTGAATGTTCCAGATCTGTTATACATCAGTAGCTTTAAGGACGCCGAGCACCAAACACTGTCGAAATCGCGTATGCATATACGTACACAAGCTGCTGCTGCTGCTGCAGCTGTGCTGAATACATGCTACATAGTGCGGCAGCTGTGTGTATGCATACTGCAACGTCGAAAGCGCAGCGGAAGTTTCGCAAAAAAAAAAATTACGCTGGCAAAAGAGCCGCGCGAACTCCGAAAAGTACTTTACTCGCGGCGGCGGCGGCGGGGCGTTATGTTTCAGCTCTAGCTTTTAGATGGAGAGGAAAACGTACATAATGTAACTTTGCGAAAAAAACCTTCTTCGCGGCTTAAAGTTGCGAAAAAAAAATGTTGTTTTACTTTTCATACGAGATTCGCAACCCGCGCGAACAATTTCAATCAATATAATACACGCGGGTTCGATAATACATCGTTTAACCGAATTGTGCATAATATGTTGCATTGCCCGCGAGTACTTACACGTATTATAAAACGGCGCGGGGCCTACTTACACATGTGTGTGCTGCCCCACATTGAATAATCTATTAAGTAATAATCTCTCTCTATGTAGTAACGGTCAAAACCTTCCGCGCAAAGGCTTTATAATATAATAATATAAAAAATACATTAAGCAATCGGTGGTATGTACACAACGCTATAAACGGGGCCCCCAAACCACGGCCACGCGTGGCACTGAGTATGTCCTCGTGCGTCGCGCGTCGTGTGCAGCATATGCGCGGCGAATTATTGTTCCAACGGAGCGAGTTACGTAAGGACCTCGCGCATCGAATTTTGGGAGCTTGGCTTTTTTAGTTCGTATTATAATTTTCTGTGCGCGTATAGTGCGCGAGATGGCAACAACGACGACGACTTCTGGCCCTTACGTAAGCCATATATTACACCGCAGAGCGGCTCCCTCGTGCCGAATATGCATGTGCTCAGTGGCGCTCCGCTGTTTATGAGAGAGAGAGAGAGCAAAGCAGCAGCCGATTTCTCTATAACCGAAACGGCCAAATATATAACGCACAGCCGGGGCCACTTAGGCCTTCTTCTCCCTCTCCCTCTTCCCGCTTAGCTTGTAGTACGTATGATACATAACATCAACGCGTAGATTCGCGCGCGCGGGTGTGGTGTGTGTCACTCGCTCGG